TTGCCTACACAGGCGGCAGATGCCTCCGTTACCGCGAAGCCATGCTGATCTTAGAAACCACCCCATGGGTACGCTATTCGAGACGGCGGAACAACAACATCTACGCAGTCACGCCGAGATGAAATCTTGGATTGAAATAAGTCGAAAAGACACCCGTGCGAAGGACTGTCAGGTCCTAGACTGCATGTGGGTATACGTATATAAATTCGACAAGCATGGACGGTTTCAAAAGGGCAAAGCACGCCTCGTGGTCAGAGGAGACCAGCAAATCAAGTCAATACATGAAGAAACCTATGCCGCAACACTAGCAGGACGGTCTTTCCGGACACTGATGGCGGTTGCTGCACGTTTCGACCTCGAACTAATCCAGTATGATGCCGTTAACGCGTTTGTAAACGCAAAGCTAGACAAGGACATATTCATGCGCATGCCTCCAGGCTATCGGAAACCAGGAATCATCCTGATGCTCCAGAAAGCGTTGTATGGCCTAAGAGAGTCACCACTCCTGTGGCAAAAGGACCTTATGGCTACGCTGAAAGACCTCGGGTTTGAAACCGTTCCACATGAGCCCTGCTGCATGATCAAAGGAGCTATCATTATCTTCTTCTATGTGGATGATATAGTCCTGGCATATGAAAAGAAGAAAGAGAATGAAATCAAAGAAGTAACAGGAAAGTTACAGAGACGATATAAATTAACGGGGGGAAAACCACTACAGTGGTTCCTTGGAATCGAAATCATTCGAGACCGAGACAAGAAACTTATCTGGCTATCACAGTCAGACTATATTGACAAGATTGCTAACCTATCTGAAGATAGAGATCAGCGACATGACATTCCCATGAGACGCGAAGAGCTAAGACCGTATGAAAAACAAGCTAGCATAGCGTCTATAAGGCGATACCAACGCAAGATTGGATCAATTCTATATGCTGCCGTTATTACTAGACCTGACATAGCTTTCGCAGCATCAAAACTAGCCAGGTTCAACGCAAACCCAGGTCCAGAACACTACAAAGCAGCAGACCAGGTTCTGCTTTATCTGAAGAAAACCAAATCGCTTGCCTTGCAATTCGGCGGAGACGATGAGTTCTTCGTAGCAAGCGATGCCTCGTTTGCAGACAATACAGAGGACCGCAAGAGTTCCCAAGCCTATGTAATGCGATTATTTGGAGGCACTATCGGTTGGAAAGCTAATAAGCAAGCAACCGTTACTACTTCAACAACAGAAGCTGAGCTACTTGCTCTTGCTCAGGCAGCCAAAGAAGCTATATTCGTATCGCGACTACTTAAGGAACTTGGACTTCAATTGGATGAATCACGGATACGAATACAATGCGATAACATCCAGACAATACAACTGATCAACAAGGACATCACCAAGTTGCAGACAAAACTCCGACACGTTGATATATACAACCACTGGTTGAGACAGGAAGCTCAATTGAATAGAATCAAAGTGGAATACAGACCTACTGCAGATATGGTTGCAGACGGACTGACTAAACCGATGAGCCATACGCCATTCAAGACGTTTATCAAACAAATCGGCCTAGTGGACATCTCCAACCACCTAGAGAAGAGAAAGCTGCCCACACTGGGAGAAATGGAACTTCTAGGTGAAATGGAAAAACTGGAAAACTAAGTAACCCAGCGGATCAGTCTCTGCCTAAGCGGCCTCAACTGGGGGGGTGTGTTAGATTGACGCCTGCGTCCGGATAAAATGCTAGGAAATCTAGCTTAGTTGCATTCTTGCAATATGCTGAAACCGGGAAGAACGGGTAGATACAAAACAGAACCCCGCTTCAACCGGAATGGGTAGAATCACTCAATCAACAACATGAATCACTCTTTGCTCAATGAACCCCAGGTGTATTGCATCAAACTAATATCGTTTATCTAACACATACACCTTTCACGCGTTATTTGCATCCAGCACTTCAGTCATATATTCTTAAAAATGGAAATAGCTCTCAAAGACTCAATACTCACATTCCCAGACGACAGTCTCCCCCCTGAAAGCGATCATAAATCTCGCGATGAGCTTTTTATGTCAATCAACAACTGGGCGGCGACAAAGGGATACGCATTCACTACCGGGAGATCAACAAAGGAGAAAAGCGGACGACGGACGATTACATATTCATGCGATAGGTCGTGTCATCCGCCAAGCACATCAATAGCGCGGCAAAGGCAAACTACTAGTAGGGGGACTGGTTGTCAATTTTCCGTCCTTGCTAAGGAATCTTTGGATAAGAGCACATGGAGCTTGAGACACCGGCCCGATAAGCGTTTTTCTTCTCATAATCATCCCCCAAGCCAACATCCGTCTGCTCACCCAACGCATCGCAAGCTATCTGAGGAGGATCAAGCCAAGGTGGCCGGTCTTTCAAACGCTGGCGTCGCACCCAGGGACATCAGAACATACATACGACAAACGACAGACTCTATAGCGACCCAGCAGGATATCTACAATCATATTGCAGCCGCTAAACGAGATGTTCGTGAAGGGCAGACCTCGATCCATGCACTTGCCAATCAACTTGATGAGGAAGGCTTCTGGAGTCGCATGCAGTTTGCACCAGATGGCCGAGTTACGGCTGTCTTGTTCGCTCATCCAGATTCCTTAGCCCTTCTCCAAGCCTACCCAGACATCATGTTACTAGACTGTACCTATAAGACTAATAAGTATGGTATGCCACTTCTTGATATAGTTGGCGTCGATGCTTGCTAACGGTCGTTCTGTATTGCGTTTGCATTTCTTAGCGGCGAGGCAGAAGATGACTATACCTGGGCTTTAGAGCGGGTCAAATCCTTGTATAGTCAGTGCAACGCTAGCCTACCTGCGGTTATCCTTACAGATCGCTGCTTAGCATGCATTAACGCTGTTGCAACCATCTTCCCCTCTTCTGCATCTTTGCTTTGCCTCTGGCATGCGAACAAGGCCGTTCTTCAACATTGTAATCCAGCTTTTGACTCTACTAAGCCAAAGACAGTCAACAATCCTGTAGCGCTCAAACCTTCAACTCAGAGCTGGGAAGAATTCTATAACTCCTGGCATTCGATCATCAGCTCGCCATCTGAGGTGGTTTTTGAGGAGCGCGTTTCCCAGTTTGAGGAACGCTATCTTCTAGACCATCTCGAAGAAGTCGGCTATGTTACGTCCGTTTGGTTGAAACCATACAAGGAGAAGCTAGTGAAAGCCTGGGTCGATCAGCATACCCATTTTGGCAATGTGGCTACTTCGCGAGTTGAGGGTATTTATGCACTACTTAAATCGCACTTGAAACGATCTACATTAGACCTTTTTGAAGCTTGGCGAGCAATGAAGCATGCTTTACTAAATCAGCTATCGGATCTAAAGTCAAATCAAGTTAAACAGCAAATACGGATACCAGTTGAGCTTTCAGGGTCAATGTACGGCGCAGTGCTTGGCTGGGTATCGCATGAAGCCTTGCGCAAAGTAGAAGAGCAACGGAAGCTGCTCACGAAGAAAGACACAAATCCTTCCACAGCCTGTACGGGGACGTTTTCTCGAGTATATAGTCTCCCATGCTTACACAAATTAAAGACTTTACAAGAACAGAATCTTGTTCTTCTACGTGAGCACTTCCATGCACATTGGCATTTGAGGCGTGATGGAGCGCCGCAGCTATTGCTGGAGCCTCGCCAGCGCATAGAGCCCAGGTTGCAATTAGAGAATCCCAGTATTCCCAAATCAAGCACTAGACGAGAGCCTAGCGGGTTCGAAGTTGTTGAAGTTGCTTCACGGGCCCCAAGCAAATGCAGTAGGTGTCATATAGTTGGCCATACTATGACTTCAAAGGCGTGCCCTCTGCGATACACGCATTTATTGCCTGAACCGACACCTACTCCAGATCCAGCTACAGTATCAACTGCGATATTTACCGGGACGACGACAGATATACAAGAACCTCCTTCAAACGCCGTGCAGGACGTACCAGAGTTGGTTCAACCGACTATTGCTATAGTGGTAGAGACCAGTATATCACCACCTCGGGTATTATCACCATTTGCGCATTCGCATTCACCTTCGCTGCCAGGATACGATTCACCTCAGGCGATATACGGACGGTACTATGCAGCAAGAAGCGCCTGGTACGGTGCTCAACCTCGTGGGAGTGTCAAAACAAACCAGGAGTATCGAAGGGCAATGGGACTTCCGCTACGTTATGACAAAAAGTGTTATGAGTGGTGTCTTGACTATAAGCAGATGAAAGGACGCTGCACTACCTCACACGGGTCAAGGGATTGGACGAAGGAGGAGATGATGGCTTATCTGGACTGGGATAGGGCTGAATACAAACGGGTCGATGAGCTGATTATTGCGGAAGATGGACAAAACCCCTTTAAAAACAGTGAGAGAGGTATGAGCGAAGTCTGGAAACGAGTCGAGCAAGATAAGGCAGAGCAGGAGGCGTTATACGCTGGTAGTAAGCCCGAAGAGTGCATCGTAGTAAAGTCGTAAACTTTCCGGATAAGTTTGATGCAGGCCGTGCCTCTCATTGGCTCATGAGCCCTATATCAGAGTTGCTTAGTCATTTCCACGGGTACCCGTGAAATTTTACACGCACGGGTACCCGTGAACCTATTGGGAGCCCGCTATCCTCGCTCACTTACATAAGACAAGCTGTGTTGTTCTTGGTTGATGCTGCCAGTGCCCTGAGTCGGTCATCACACCGGAACCCTTGGCGTAATGCAGACACAAACGCGCATGAACATCATGAAAACGCTCCTCTATCTTTGGCTTGTGCTACCGCGTTGCGCCGGCAAAGCTGTTGGGTCTATAAACTTTCCCGACGGGCTGCTCTAACCCTAACATAAACAACCTAGTTATTTCACCTGGATCCGAAACAGTACAGAGACAAAACGGCATGACTGCCGAGGCTTTAGGTTTATAAGTCTATAGTACTCTTTGTAGGGACCTCATTCCTACGTTCCTACACCGTCACATAAGTCTATCGCCAAAAGACCGAGACCTAGTACGTGTTACCTAGTTGCGTGTGCGCCCAGTCGTTCTCAAACCTTTGCCAACCACCGTACTCGGGCTCACTCGCCATATACAGCTGGTGGACGACCATGTCGTAGTATCCGTCCCTCGGAGTCTTGCCACCGCAAACATTGCCTCCCATCGCCACATTCAACAAGATGGTCATGTCTCTCATTGGCCGGGTTCCAGGCGGAATATCCCCCTTCATCACCGGTCTTCCGTCGATATACCAAATCATCCTACCCTGACCGGGTTGTCCACCTGGCTGTACCCACGCCAGGTCGTACCTCACAGGTCGGTACTGCATGTCGGGAATCTTGGTCCCGAGAACGCGATGCTTGTCCGGCTCATGATGCTGGCCCCAGTGAAGACACGAGTGGTTCTCGCAGTCTCCGTTCCAGGTTTCAGCAATGTCAACTTCACCATCGGTAGGCCATACGAACGGCTCCTGCGGAAGAAGCCAGAAAGCAGGCCAGATACCCTCGGCACAAGGGGACAGAATGACAGCCGTCAACACTCCGTGATCACGTGACAGCGTCTGTCTGCTCACCAAACGGGCAGACGTGTATTTCTGCTCGGGGTTGGGACAGGCACTGTTAGCGAGGGCTCGGAGCACGAGCTTCCCATCCGGAGTACTGTTCAACAATAATCAGCTCAAAATATCCCCTTAACTCTTGAAAGACATGCAAAAAAAAACCCACTAAAAGACATTCTGCTGCTCGGCGGTGTAGTGCTGGAGCTCCTGATTTCCCCAACCGTCCGTCCCATTGCCGATCTTCCCATCCCAGTCTTGAGTCACGGGCACATCAGGCCTGAACTGAGGCTGCCAGTAAACAGCAGCAGGCTGTCCGCTTATCGGCGGCGGCGGCGGCGGCGGCTGGGCATATTGTTGATGCTGCTGCTGCTGTTGATATTGAGGGGCCTGGGATTGCTGAGAGTTTTGAGACCCCGGGTCGGCAATCAGCTGCTCAACCTCATTTTTGATACGTTTCAAGTGATCTTTCCAACCCATGATTTTTGAGCTGAGAATCGCAACAGGATGTTGAGATAGTTGGCGAATAGGAGTTCTGTTGGTTGTTAGGAAATTTCTGGAGTACCTACGCGTAACATTAAGAGAGGGGTTGCTCAGTTCATGACTAAGGTAATACCAGCAGGGGTATCCCGTGGGGGGATTAAATGACCTCATATTTGCCAAGGCCTAAGTTTCCACTTTAAGTGCTATTTTTAAGACCTCACCTTGATTATCTATTCAACGTTGCTGAAGTTTTTGGGCATTTTGAGTGCGAGATCAAACATCTTAGCCGTGCCATCAGACCAAATGGGTTCTCCACCGTCTAAGACCATTTGTGGAAACAATTTTGTAGATCTTATCTGGCTTGTTCTGTCATTCGAGGATAAAAGTATCTATGTTTTAGCCGCATAGATGTGAGCTATGATGTTTTATACGCTGCGAATTTAGATGCAGAAATTCTTTCTACTAGTTAAGATAGCTTCCCAAGATCAAAAAGGGCGATGGTTTGCAGAAGAGTAACGATAGCCCATTGAATTAACCGGCCGAACAGGTAGTCTTATGCATAGTGCACATCTCTCTGTCGTCCAAGGAAGAGTTCTTGGGAGATCCACACCCGTTAAAACAGCACCATCTCATAAAAGCTTCCATGGCGTCGTAGAGCCGCCTCATGTCTGGTTTCCCCTTCAATACTCTGATCGCCGGAAACAAATGCCGTGAGACAGGGGACCTGTACTTTTGTCCAGTCCGTAAATGTCTGCCTTTCGAACAACACCCTCCTTGTCTCCAGTGTCTCGTGTCTTGTCCGATAAAGCCACCACTTGATGGGGTCTATTCATTAATCACGCAACGAATTCTACCCTCCCCTGGCACCCAACTTCAATAAACTTAAAGAGAAACAGTATTACTGCCTCAACCCAACCACAAAAAAAAAAAAATGAAAAATGAAAAAGACTGAGATAAGAAAGTGCTGTAGGGCACGTAGCTTCGTTCTCAAGAGTACGTACTCAGTTGTCTGCCTGTCTCTACCCAAGAAATTGCGAAAAGACACGGCGCATAATTACATAGCACCACATGACACCATCCAGTCTCAGCCAGATACGTATCACGGTGCTCTAAGTAAAAAGTATCACCTAAGATGGGCGATAAGAAAAAAAAAAGGTCTACTGATCTTTTCCACGCCTTCAAGTACGGCCATCCTTGCGTCAACCGCTGCACCTGAACCACCAACAAGTCACTTCAGTAAAGGGCCCAGATCGCAGCAACACGCAGTTGTTCATGAGATGGTGCAATTTGTTATGATGCTACTACTAGTCATCTTGCAAAAAAGCAAAAGAAAACCCTCCGAGATACCCTCAGGTCTTGTTCATATTCCAGTGCCCGATCGCTCCCAAGAAATCAACATCATTTGCTTTTTGGGGGCGTTGAAAGACTTCAGAAGCAACTCGAGCTTCTCTCTCAGTTTTCTCACTACTTCTTCAAGCAATATGACTCGATCGGCTGCACCTAAGCTATCGGTCTCTGTGTAACAACTGTCGCCAGCTGCTGCATCCAATTCTACCAACAACGCCACATTGGCTTGCCTACAGACAGCTTCTTGAAGCACGTGAATAGCCTGTTTTAGATGCGACCTTAGGGCACCAAAACTTTGCGTGTCCTTCTCATGGTTTTGCGTCAGTCTGTCAAGATTTTCCTGGTGCCACTTCTTGAATGTCTGCACCCAGGTCAAGTAATCTCCAGTCGTCTGAAAAGTTTCCGGCTGAGGAGGGTGCTTGCCTATTTCAGGAGGCGTTTGGGCGACTTGAAGTACTTCTGACCAGTCACAGTTAACCCCAGCTGCATCACACAAGATGTGCCGCCATATCATGACAGGAAACTCCAGCGGAAAGCTCTGCCCAGCACGGAGAAATAGCACCATGGCAAAGACGTATACGCCAGTGTCTGAGACCTCCCTTGATACAGGGCATAATTGCTTAGTGATGAGACGGGCCGTGGTTTTGGTAGACTTTGGGAGGTATGTGCGAAGAAACTTCCCGAGAACTCTGTGAGCTGCTGCTGAGTTTACCGTGCTTGGCATCGGTTCGTATAATCGAATAGTGGTTGGATTTCTTGTCCTTGGGTTGAAGAACAACAAGGCGAGAACCCAGACCTCATCCGTGTGCAGTATTGGCAGGAATAGGGAGCTCATTGAGTCAACATGTCTTTGGGTCGCCGTCTTGACGACATCGTCAGGTTCCGTGGCTTGGTCAAAAATGGCGGGATCAATGACAGCTGAGTAACCCAACCCTGCCATAATGCACGACAGCGCATCAAGTAAACACTTGGGCGTGATGATTGTTCCTGGGCGGGCAATGTCGGCATGGTTTGGAAGACATTTTCGTTTATCTCGACCTGCTGATAGAGCTGACGTCGGCCCGGGTCAGCAATTGTCATTAACACGTGCATGGGTGAACTCCTGACACAACACTAGGCAAGCTTGAGGCTGGAAAAAAGAAGGATCGAAAAGACTTGGACACTTACTGTCTGCGTGGCGCTTATTCACGGGCCCATCGGGCCTAGCATCTCCATCGGTCATCTCAGCAACGCATAGCGCCCTTGGCTCAGCCATACTCTTATCCATTGGTCTTGAAGAAATTTCTTGAACGCTGGAAATGACCGACTGTGAAAGTTTGGGAAGGACGACGAGGAGGTCAGGCTGACCTATGGATCTTAAACTCGACAGATGGCAAGGTGTGATCAAGGTTGGGGGAGTGGTCTCGTTGACATGGCCCGTTTCGATTTATCGGACAAGTGCGAATGAACTTTCGGCAATGCTTTTAGAAGTATCTGAACCGTGGGATGGCATGTAATCGGCATTTGTAGCGCCTGTGGGAGTTGAAATACTGGGTTCGGTTGCGTTGAACGATGGTGAAAGTGGCTTAGACGCTCGACGTCGCGAAAAGGATGATGACGATGTCTTGACTTCCTCAACCTTGAAATTGGAAGAGACAGGGTGGATCAATGTCCTTCTGTCTTGAAGAAAGGGAATGTGGAAATCGATCTGTATACTCGAGTGCGACTTAGAGTCCGCCTGCTTCGTTTCATCCAAGATGAATGAGCAACAAACCTTTGTAAATATCTTGACGTCAGAAGCCGCCTGCAGTGTCAAGTTGCATTGCTTGACGATGTCCACAAAGTTGTTGGTGATGAGGACCCAGTTGCTGCGAAAGGACAGGAAGACGGAAACGAAGCTCGACGCAGTCCACCGAGGGGGCAAGATTCGACTCAAGGTTCGGCAAGGAGTCGGCAAGGCGTCTACCGCTGTCGATGATGCTGTCGTACACCTGAATTGTCTTGCTAAGGAAGGCTGAGACCTGTCTACTGGATTCCTCAGCTTCAATGCGAGAGCGGCGTTCAAGGGACAAGGATGTTTTCCATTGGGTAGATGTGCCTTGTGTAACCTACCTTCTCGGGAGAGGAAAGTGACTGGTCTGAGGAGCAAGCCCTCCGAGTGCCTCAAGAAAAACGTGAGTATGCGTTGTAGAAGTGTCGAGAAATGGGAATTTGTGATAGAAAAGCAGTTGTTGACCCTCGGTTTATTGAGATGCATAAGTTCGGGAAGGTAGGACCGAGGCGAGGTTGCCTGCTGTAATCAATATCGTAAACAGGCAGGAATGCCACCTCTGGTTGGCACTTACCTTGATTGCCTGAGACTGCTAACGAGTGTCCACATAACTTTTGTTGCATAAAGGAAGGAGACGGTTTACATAATCAGGTTCTGGAGGCGTATCGTCAATGGAGTCACAGCAATTCCCAACTGTACCTGGGTACGTACCTTATACAAAGCATTTTGACCAGGTCTGGCACATTATTGCCAAAGTATTTCACATGTATTCAAACAAACAGTCCTAGTAGATCAAAAGGTCATATTACCATCTCGTAGGTCTGGACAATAGCTTGAAGCAGCATAACATCGATCGCCTCATTCGGGAGGTTTCGGGTAGGAACTCCTGCAAAGACCAAAACAAGAGCTTTCCAGCCCTTACGCAACTTTTAAATGCGACAACACACCTAATAGGTAGACCGTCTCAAAGCAATTTGACTTTGAGAGAGCCGGAAAGGCCCAGCGTGCTGAAGAAAACTCACGGCAAAGAACATCAAGACTCTGCTTCGACATCGAAGAATGACGCAGCTTCCGCAGTTGTAGCAAGACCTAGAAGCTCAAATCAATCAGTTAAGTGGGTATATCTATATCCAACGGCGATTGAGAGGAGGTCTTCTCGAATAATTGCTAATACATGAAATTTGAAAAGCAAAACCGGGGTTTATTTCGCCGACGGCGAAACTAAGAGAAGTGGAGGAAGATTTCAAGGCATGCCAATCTCGAACAAATGCCATACAATTCTCTGCGAACCGCATCCTCCATGTCTAGAGTTTTTAGAAGACGATGACAGCCGGCGTGTTTACTTATTTTCTGAGCCGTTGAACCAGTCAAATCAGCAATGTGGGGTGGAAACTGTCGATTCCTACATACGAATTCAGAAGTCTCACATCGATCGCCTCCGAACTGGGCTCGAGACCGTGTTACTCGAAGCTAGCTTGGAAACACCGCCTGGCTTGAACCATCTCGCTTCAGATGGAAGCTTCTCTTTGTAGGATGATCCGATAAGCTGGAGCGGCACTCCTACACCGTCCACTCTTCCCTCATTCGGACCTTGAAGGAGATATCGAGGCTTCCGAATTACTCTGAGTTTTTTCATTTTGGGTCTGACTCTCCTTGCGCTTGTGTTCGGCGGCGATTTCGAATCAACACCTGATCGTTCTGACCATTTGAGTATAGATGGCGAGCCCAGATTGCCCCACGACATGACGTAATTTTGCACTGCGATTGAATGGACAAAACTGGCGGAAGGTAAAGTGTGACATCAGCGAACAGAGGGAATAGAATGGTACTTGGATTTATCGCTCAATAAAAGACTGCCTTTGGGAAACTCTGAATGACGATAGAGAGTCTGGGAAAATGTTGCTATTTATTCCTCCTGAGACTTTTCTCAGGGCGTGGTTCATAGCTGTGTTATGAGCAAGTTCCGAAATCCTCCGTTAAAGTAGTAGAATAGAATTTTGGGTCTTAATATCTTAATTATAGAACTGCCATTATTTGAAGCATGGGACTAGCTCTGCCTTAGCCACTTCTGAGGCTGTATCAATGATATTATTAGCGCGAGGTAAGGTACTATCAAATAATACATCTTTTGTTAAGCAAGCTCTTATTAAGATCCATCTTTTCCCCGAAGCCAATAAACCATTGCCAGACTGGATGTTACAGCTCCCGAGCGACTTTTGCACATTACTCTTCAAATACGAGGACACGAAGTATTACAGCGTTTTATTATGATACTATTTCGACGCTGATGTATGTATTCTGTCTTCTAGAGGTACTTATTCATGCAACCCACGTTGAAGAATAGGAGAAAGGTTCCTACCCTTTAACTGTTTGCGACCTTATGACAACCTCCAGTCAAAGAAGCCTTATTATCCACAAGCAGATCTATAATCTCTTGATATCCTCCATTTTCAGCATTTAGAACAGCATAAAAGTGCTCGGTAACACTCATTCGGACCTTGGCCCTTTCTTCTAGCAGCAGCTGCACGGTTTGAAGTTTACCTCCGGCTGAGGCAGCTATAAGGGCAGAACCATTTCTCCAACCTTGCCCATTTAAATCAGCCCCCTTTTCAAGTAGGAGCCTTACAACATTCTGATAGCCTTTCAATGAAGCAGTTTCAAGAGGCGTACGGTGATATAGCCCCCCTCGCATGTTTACATCAGCCCCATTTTCTAGCAGGAGGTTTATGAGATCCCCGTTGCCTCTATCTAGGGCAATTGTAAGAGGGGTATTACCGTCAACACCTCCTATGTTAATATTAGGCTTATAGCCTAGGAGAAGTTTTACAACCTCTAGATTACCGCCAGCGGAGGCGGCTATAAGAGGAGTATCGCCATACATACCCCCTCTAACGTTGACAGCTGCTCCTTTTTGTAGCAGGAGCTTAGCAATCTCCCAGTTGCCTTTATCCAAGGCACTTGTAAGAGGAGTGTTGCCGTTAATCCCTCCAATGTTGACATCAGCCTTGTAGCCTAGGAGAAGTTTTACAACCTCTAGATTACCGCCAGCGGAGGCAGCCATAAGAGGAGTATCGCCATACATACCCCCTCTAACGTTGACAGCTGCTCCTTTTTGTAGCAGGAGCTTAGCAATCTCCCAGTTGCCTCCATCTAAGGCATTTGTTAGAGGGGTGTTACCTTTAATCCCTCGAATGTTGACATTAGCCTTTTGGTCTAGAAGCAGTTTTACAACCTCTAGGCTGCCTCTAGCGGAGGCAGCCATAAGAGGAGTATCACCGTACATGCCCCCTCTGACGTTAATAATGGCCCCCTGGGATATATAGAGCCGTATGATCTCTGCATGGCCCCAAAATGCAGCGGCATGTGTAGCACAAGAATATGAAAGGCCTCGCGCGTTGATATCTGCCCCCTTTTCTAATAAGAGTTGTACAATCTCCCGATGACCTTTAGTAGATGCAACTATGAGAGGAGAATCATGAATACCGCCCTCATTGTTAACCTCAGCTCCCTGATTCAATAAAATTTGCACGACCCCCTGATGGCCTTGTTCCGAGGCAGCTCGGAGGGCTGTACCACTCGTAAGGCAAATTCTATTGATCTCCGCCCCCTTGTCTAGCAGAATTTGAACGATTCTTTGATGACCTCCACAGGAGGCAACGTGGAGCGAGCTCTTGCCATCACTACCTCGCATATCAGCCCTAGCTCCCTTGTCTAGCAGAAGTTCTACAATCTCTTTGCAGCCTCCAACCACGGCGGCTTGTATAGGACTGCCATAGTAGCCATTTTTTTGTGTGTGAATTGCAGCTCCACGGGCTACGAGACTTCTTGTCACTTCTTTTAATCCAGCTACACAAGCATAGTAGAGGCCAGATGCTTTAGAAGATTCAGAGGGCCCCCTGTCTGGGTGCCAAAAATCGTCATCGGGTTGATAGATGTCACTCCATTGTTTCAAGCGTCTCCCATCTTCAAGAAAATCGACTGCCTGTTGAGTGGTCTCGCCAGAGTGTTCAGCCAAACCTGCATAAAACATCCAGATTTCTGCAGCCCGTATCGCCAGTGGGAAGTGTTGTTTCAGATGTAGAAAGTCACCACAGATGTCTGTTAAATAGGTCAAACAGGTGCGGGCTATAATAACGCTCGCCCTTGTGAGGTTGAAATCATCTCCCGACAGTAGATACTCCTTTACTGAGAAATGAGCAAGAACAAGAAACTCCATTTCGGGCTTTTCTTTGACAATACTTTGTTGTCGCAGGCCTGTTGCAATCGAAACCAAGCCAGGGCAGTAGTACAGAACGTCGATTCCCTCGAACGGCCGCCCTTTTATGTTGAAACCCCGCGGATCTTCGTCAAACTGTGTGGCTATCACATCTTTTGCCTCTAGCAATGTCAGGGGTTGTCGAACATGAACCATGAACTGCAGCAGACGTATGGCTTTCTTCCTGACTTTCGAGGGTATGCGGTAGATCATACGCTGATACGTTTCATTGAGATCGGTTGGTAGAGACTCGAGCGTTGTCTCTATGTCCTGGGGGCTTCTACACGCGGCAAGACTATCCAATTGACATGATGCCCATCTGAACCTGCGAAAACAGTCAGATCCATAAGTGTCTTCAAATCAAGCATAAGCTCACATTCCATCGGCCCCGCCTCCGACTTTGCAGATGATCCGGTCGAGGAGCTCGGGAGATAAGTGTTTATCCACGAAATCGTGACTATGCTCAAGCTTTGCCATGACGTAGGAACGTATGTCCAAGTCTATAGCTGTTTTGTCGAGCGAGAGACAACATTCCTTGCCAATAACGATAGGAAGACGCCTAAGAAACACATCTTCTGTTCGGCTAGTAGCAATCAAGTAAACACACCTTAGGTTATGAGTCAGAACGAACTCCTTTATCCATTCAAGCAGCTCATTCCTCTCCGTACACTCGTCTAGTGCGTCAAGGATAATATAAGTGTTTTTCAAATTATTTAGCATTTTACTGAGGCAAGCTGCTAAGGATTTGGTGTCAGCCTGTCTCTTACCTCCATTAAAAGATGTAAACAAAGCATGAAGGGTTTGCGGGTTGTAGTTTTGTGAGTAGAGTTGAAAGATGAGAGACCGTAAGAGGCTGTCAAGTTTCTGCTTCTCGACATCGTTGAAATCGAAGTAGAACTCAAGGGTAATGTAGTCTTTCGTGCTCCGGAGATTAGCTACAATCGTTGAACTGAGGACAGTCTTGCCACATCCGGCCAAGCCATAAAGCCACAGATGGCGGCGCACTCCATGCTTCCAGTCTTGATAGGCAAGACTGTCAAGGAACCAAGACCCAGACCCTTGGTGCCATTTCTTTCTGGCTGAATTGAAATTGGTTGATGTGTCGGGCGGGCGAAGCCAGCGCTCAAGCTCAGTAAGGTAGTTGTTGTCGCGCAAGGATAGGACTGCACATTTAGTTTCATCAGCTGTCCGCTGGATGGCTCCGAGGCCTTGTTGGACTAACAGTAGTAAGCATATGTAATGGCTGTGATGATATGCGTCAACAGAGGCTTCTTCACTAACCGCTATTAACAATTTCACTGAGTCGTCTTTCTTCATCGACCTTGTTAGGCTGAATTTGCCGCAAAAGGTCTTTCGCATATGCCGCCGCCGTCATCGCAGCAAAGCCCTGCCACGCCTTGTTCTTATGTGAATCAGAATAGTCGCATATTCCTCGAATCACCATACATGGGAAATGGTTCATTAGGCCAGCAGCCTCCATCTCGAAGCAAAGGACGCCATTTTCAGTTGCCAATTTATCACGGAGAGTTGCATTCTTCATGACTTGGTCTCCACTGGCAATGAGTCCATAGTGTACGGCGGGGTCATCGTCGTGTTCGCCCCGGGGGACTCGACCTACTAGCACGCTCAAGTCGTTGCTACACACACGACTACAATCGTCTGGTGAGTTTGGATGAATGATATCAGAGCGATAGAGTTTATCGCTATCGAGAGGAGGGTGCGAATATCCTTTCTGTAGACGAGGCCATCTTTCCAACGCCTCTTTAACATCGGCACCAAGTCGGTGTCCTCTTCTTTCATAACGACTCCTAAGCGAACTGACAGCCGTCCGTAATACTGTCGGTGGCTGATCTAGGAAATCAGTATGTTGAAATGAAATTCCCTGCTTCTGATTTTGAATGGTTTTGCCAAAGTCGTAGCCGAAAACACCGCCCTTCCCTCCGTCACGACTACTGACCACAATGTCGCCCAGTCGCACATCATGTTTCGGGCTGGGCGCACCGCCTCCGATGCCGACCATCAATCCAATGCGGATATTCGGGAAGCTACGTAGCATGTCCCGGGCTGCTGCTGCGGCGGCGCCTTTGCCATACTCCCCGTTTGGCAAGACTGTAATCACTACATGATGTTTCCCCATTCTACCAAGGGCATAACTGTTGTTATCTCGCTCGGCGGCTGGAGGAGGGTCGTCATATTCTTCATCTAGCAGAGCCTGCGCGGCAGTGAACTCGGTAGCTATAGCGCATACCCAGCCGACCGTGTAGATTTGAGGGTCCGACATTAATGGCAGCGGCCTAGAGAGGACGTTGATCTTATTTTTCGATACGGTCTCTTTAATCAAAGATCACAACCGGGGTTTGAAGCTCTTTCAATGCCATAAGGTGATAGAGGCTAGTGTGACTTGTCAAGTCACAGAGAGACTTTTTTGGGCCTGAATGCATGACAGCCTGTTGAGTACAGCCTGATTGTCTGATGTGGCCGCTTAGGCAACGTTGCCACCCAAATGCAGTCAGACGCAGCTGAAAAGCCGTAGGCGAACTTGCATCACTTACCCCGCTCGACTGCATGATAAGTAACAGACCAAGCTCATGGAGAAGGAGGCAGAGACGATGACCGTGATGTTCATGTACGTCGAGTGCACGAACATAGCCTCAGGCGCTGCGGAACCGGACTGGACTCACAAATGGATTGTGAACGTCAAAATCGCCGCGACCAAGTCGTGAAATGGCGCAGTCGTCGCGGCTGAATCGGTACCAGACAGGAGGGAAAGCTCATCGCCTCTCAACAGCAAGGCTGCGACTATTGCCAGGGTCCCGAAAAGATCTCAGGTAGCTCATCGAAGACTTACTCATCTCCCTTCTGGGATGCCTTGCCGCTTGGCAAGGCCTGTTGGCAAGGTGCTGGCTTACCCTTTCACTGAATGACTTCAATGTATACCCGCAAGGTCTGTATGTGATAGGTAGCTAGCTCTGGGTTGTTAATCTATGAGTTGAAGCGTGTAATTTCTGTCTCCAACCGCAGTTAACAACCAAAGTATCTGTCCACTGTAATCCTAGTCTAGAGTGGGAATGGATATAGTATCGTAAAGAGTGTTTTCATAGTCAATAAGGTGTTTATTTTTAGCTTTTCTTTTTTACAGTGCCGGGCGTATGTTATTATGAAAATCTTTTTTTACCTTCAATCTTTTATGTCTTTTCATTTTCTTTCTTTCTTGGCTTCTGAAATGTTGATTGGCTGGGAAACGTGTCCAAAATTCTAAGACAGACAAACTTCGACGCGCGTTCCGTGGCAGAATGCTAGAGTAGTTTCTTGCTTACACCGACCTTCGCGTTAAGCCCCGATTACTGTTGTGTCTCAGTTGTAGTCTTTGGGACCCCACAAACCACTCACTAGTGTTTACCGAAACCAGCGTCAGCAAGCTGAGTTCGTCTCCATCGCGCAGCCTTGGGCTAGTTCTTTTGCATGTCTCCTCCACACACCAACCGTGCGTTCCTCAGCTTCGGTGTACGACCGTTGGTTCTGACAAAACCGGTGATCGTCTTGCTTGTCTACTTAAGATCTGTAGTCTGCCTATAGGCGTTTTGACTGATCACCGGAAAACTGTCTGGAAGAAAGAGGCTGCTGGCAATGCTTGTCAGCAATACTAGATGGCCTGAGAAAGCAAATCACCTGGGAAACGGAAGCGTGCATTCCTAAGCTTGTCGTGATGCTCCATTTGCCGGCTCAGCCCTACCCTCTTCTCTCCATCGCTAGGTAATTCCCTCGAGTGCGGCTGGATCTCATTTTCGCCTGGACTACAAGTTCCATTTTAAGAGCCACTTTTCTCCAAATTTGAGCTGAAGAATAAGTAGTACTGACTGTTCTCTGTAGGCGACTCCTATATTTGTGATGTAGCGTTCTGCTAGGGGGCTTGGTGGTACTTCTTTTACATTTAAATTCTTCAGAGAATAGATGTACTACGAGTTTGGGCATATGATTTGACGAGAACAGATTGCATTGAAGCTCTGATTGGATCAATTGCGCCCTTGGCAAAAATGCTGTCCAGCCGCACCCAATGGGTGAGACATCAAATATTTCAAGCCAAACGAGAAAGGGAGACTAGGCTGACTGGAAAATAGAAAATAGTGAGGCCTCCCTTTGTTCAGTTAGGCTGCACTGTTCATTACTCAACTTGCTCTTGAGGAAGTTCTTCAAGACGCTTGTTGAACAAAAGGTATTGCTTCAAGCTAGGCTTATATATGAATATTAGCTTGTTGCTTTGCCTGGTCGAATGCTCTTAGCCCTCTGGTCTTGATATTGCTGCTGTCTGTCTCTTCTAATTCCTTTGTTTAGGGGTGTTACTGTATTGCGTGGAAGTTAATACCTGTCGCGTAAGCCTGCACCCTGAGCCTAAACCTTTGCTCGAAAATGGGTCATTCTGCGACGATGAAGAGCATTCTCATTCTCACTTCGGCGACTCTCGCCGTTGCGCAAACGAGCACATCCAGGGCTCCCTGCGCAATTATCGCGTCTAGACTTGCGGATCCTGTGGCTTCGGTGGTACCAGCCGTTGAAGCGTTCAACTGCCTGGATTCTGTGCCTGTCGACACTGAAGGAAACTCCAAGCTCATCGACCAGCTCAAGCAAGTATGGCAATTTCACTCAGAGATTGGCTGGCTAAAGAACCCTGGAAACGACTGGGAATATGGTCCTCTGGACATCATGGGCGAGTTGGACGAGATCAAGTCCAATCTGGGATCATATGAGAGCGAGTATGCGGTTCAGTTGGCGATCCAAAACATTACAATCCGCACTGGCAACTTCCATTTCAGCTACTATCCCGATATACTCCAAATATTCAACTTTCAAAGAAGGTTTAGAGTCGCCTCCATCTCTACAGACGGTAAAGCCCTCCCCAAACTGTACGTTCACGAGGATGTCGCAGCCCTTACCGATGGCGACGATAGCGTTTCCGACATCAAGTCGATCAACGGCATGAATCCCTACGATTTCCTCATGGAAAATGCCCACTCACAGTACATCGATTCGGATGGGCGGATGAATAGGATGTTTGCCAAGGGTGATACCGACCACGATGGTGCGTTTGCGCTTCAAACCAAGTACGATGGCAACAGCACCGATGTTGTTTGGACCAACTCGTCAGAAGCGTCCGTCTTGAACATCGCAGTCAGCAAGTTGAACTTTGAAGGCGTCGTTGATGGAGAGACCTTCTTCAAGAAGTTCTGTACTGGAGCGCTCACAGGCGCAAAGTCTAGCAGCTCGAGCGACAAGGAGAAAGAAGTCATTTCCCCTGGTATCCTTGGTCCTGTGCCTACCATTCCTATCGGCACCTACCATCTCGGCCCCCGAGCCAAACGTCAGAATATCCCCTCTATTGGAGCATATGCCAGTGCTGTTGCCGAGGCCAAAACCGGTACCGTCGCCGGGTACTTCTTGACAGGCAGCGGTTTCAGTGATGTTGCTGTTCTCAAGATTATTTCCTTTAGCAACCCCGACGAAACCAAGTTCACCGAAACTGACTTCAATAACGACTTCCAAGCTACAATTGAGTCTTTTCTCCAGAAATGCATCAGCGAGAACAAGCAGAAGCTCATCATTGATCTCCGCGAGAACGGCGGAGGCAACGCCAACCTTTTGATCGATGCTTTCATGCAACTCTTCCCTGACATGGATCCATTCTCCGCACAAAGATACAGGACTACCGAAGCGTTCACTAAAATTGGAGATGCTATTAACGAGGTGTACACTAACTCCGAACTTGCCAACAAGTTTCAGACCGGCTTTGATATAGACATTCAGAAAGTTGAAATCTTCCGATACTGGGCCTGGTGGCACTTCCGTACTGCCAAGGGCAACAATTTCGACAGCTGGGATCAATTCAATGGACCGCTAGATTTGAACAATGACAGGTTCACCACCACCTTCCGTTACAACGTAAGTTTACACTTAATATTAGGTTGCTCAAATTATTTCCGAAACTAACAACCCTGGGCAGTACTCCAATGCGGACCGCCTCTCGATTCTACCAGATGGCTTCAACTTCGTTGAAGGCTCTCGACCAACTGCTTTCCAGCCTTCCAATGTTGTCATGTTCACAGATGCACTCTGTGGTTCATCATGTGCTTCGTTCCATGAGGAACTCAAAAACATTGCTGGCGTCAAAGCTGTCACTGTCGGTGGGCGACCCCAGAACAAGCCCATCCAAACCATTACTGGCAGTAAGGGTGGAGAAGTCATTCCTCTCATCAACTTTGTTAAAGTAGCATTTAACGTCCTCAATGTCTCCTCTACCATTGGCCTCACTTCTGTCAAGAGCGATGATGACTCCATCACCGCCGTTGCTGACGTGCCTAATGTCGCCATCCGTGTCGGCGACTCCTCATCTCGGGCTCAGTCCCAAGATCAGGTTCGCAAGGGTGACAGGACCGCAACTCCTCTGCAATACATCTACGAAGCAGCTGATTGCCGCATCTTCTACACTGCCGAATCCTACGCTAAGCCTGTTGAGGCCTGGAAGCAGGTCTGGTCCGCGCACTTGGACAACAGCAAGTGTGTGGAGGGCTCTACCGGCCATAAAAGCAGTATCAGTGGCGGGTACAAGCCATACGGTTCAACTCAGCTCAATTCGGAGGATGAGCCACCCGGTTCTGGATCCGACTCTGGGAAAAATGCTGCCAACTCTATCAAGCAAGAACCGTTGGGCATAGCGCTTCTCGCTGTCTTATTAGCGCTTATAATATAGATAATCCTAGAAAGACCTACTTAGGGCTGGGAAGGGTAGAATAAGTAATTGAGCCTAATGCTATTCTTTGGATATTTTATGAAGGTCGTGGAATATAAGAATTCCACGTTTCGTCATCACCCAAGAACCCCTCTTTGAAGCCTGTTCAAAACAAGAGCCTTTGATCTGGTCATGATACCACTTTCAAAGTGGCTCCTGACCATTTGGTTAGAAAAGTAACTGCATATCACAGCACGCGAACCAAGCAATAATCCGGCATTATACTTCTCCACTACATCAACCAAGGGCCGGTCGACATCTGTATACCTTTCACACTTCACAGTGACCTTGCTACAGCATCTAGCATGCTTGATGTATATGTTGGGGCAAGCAGAGTCGCGAAAGGGGGGAGGGGTGGATGTAAAGAAAATCCAGGGCTTGTGGTGCATGCGAAGCCCGACTGTAAATAAAAACAAGCTCTCTCATCTCCGCCGATCACGCAGTTGAGTATTGTGTCCTGAAATGATCTGAACTTGTCTCTTGTGATAAATGTTGAGTTTGCACACATATGAATTTGTCTCGAAGGCGATGAAGAGAAGGTCCTTGTTCACAATCATCAGGTCTTTGATGTTTATCAGCCAACTACAAATGCATAATGATAGTAGAGTCTCGTTAATAGAATCTAAAACCGAGAAAGCTATGAGCTATACACTTAAATGTGACGCAGAAACGGCATACTACGGACAAATGAGTACTTTTCATTCAAAGGCTATCTTTATAGTTCATCCGCCGCATCCAGCTCATCCTGCAAATAGGCCGCTACGCCACTGCCTGAGCCGGCAGCCATGTACAAGGATTGCAATACACCCTGAAACGGCGTGGCTGCATCACCGACAGCCATGCACCCGGGCAAGCTTGTCTTATTGAAGGGTGGCTCAACCTTGATCACACCCGACTCCTCCATCTCGAGCCCAAGCTGTGCAGCCAGGGATGACCTCTGCTCATATCTGGGCAGGTGAGAGAGAAACCCTTCTCTCTGGGAGCTGCCGTCGTCAAAGATGACATCCACCTCGGGGCCACTTCCCACGGGCGCGAGTTTGGCGATCTTTCGGTTGTCAAAGCGGATCTTACTGCTGTTCAGCTGGGCCTCGGATTGCGTCGAGAGCTCACTGTCGCCATTTGTGTAGACCGTTACGCTCTTCGATAATCTCTTGGCCATCTTAGCAATACGCTCGACAACATCCGGGTCTGCCGCGTGGCCGATGGCCAGCACTCCAGAAGAAGATGCACCGCGCTCTTCATAACCGTGGCAAAACAGGCAGTGGAATCTGGGTTCCCGGGTTATTAGCAAGATCGGACAAAACGCAGCTGAGAAACACCATTCGCTAATTTTACTCACATTCCGTAAGCCCATGCCTGCTCGTATCCGGGGATGTCTTCCATCACGTCTTTGACCCCGGTAGCTAAGACAAGTCTCTTGCTTTGATATATCACTCCCTGCTCATCTTCTGCTTCAAAGATGCCGCTCTCAAGCTTTCGCACCGTCTTGACCGTCGCAGATTTGAATTCAAAGTTTTCATAGCGCTCCTGGAGATCTCCACGCGTCTTTTGCAAAAAGGCAGCGGGATCGACATGATCAAAGCCAGCCACCATGTGCATGTGCTTCGAGCGAGCGTTTCTTCAACCTTTTGCATAAGCGTGTATTCTGTTCGCATGGTACCCAGAATCACCAGGGTTGAACAAATTGAACGTACCTATAGACCCCAGAATCCAGAACGAGCACGGAAAAGTCCTGACGGGAGACCGTCATGGCAACTCCAAGCCCACCGGGACCGCCTCCAATGCATAGTATGTCGTATACCTTGGGATCCATGTCGACTTAGCAGAATAAGGCCTGGTAACAAAAGTTCGATGATAACGAACTGGCAAGTTTTGGTCTAAGAGTCAATTAACTCTTAATAATCAGAAGGATGTCTATCGAGTCATCAAGCTGAAGCTCACAGTAACTCACAAAATAACGTTGGCTGCTTTAAAGACCGGGCCTCGGTATGATTACTACACAGAGTATGACGACCAGAAACCCCTGATAGACTGCTGCACATGCCCCTCTGAAGTACTGGCTAATTGCTTGTAGCATTATCTTGCATGCCTTTCTGACCATTGCAGATGATGGAGACACATTGCAGCCCAGGATTTGCTCCTCGTACGAGTACATAGCACCTACAGGCTGAAGGATGAATATGGATGGGCATGAACGTTGCAACGGCCCCATCTCAGCATGCAGGGCCACCACCGATATGCAAGGCCACCATCACCAATATGCAAAGTCCCGCCAGCTTTAGCGTCGTCTGTTCCTTTAGCGTCGATCAATCCCTGTCAAAAAGGCCATAGTCCCTGCAGGCCCCTGACAAACGACAGGGGTATTCCTTGTCAGATATTGGATGATTGATCCCTTGCTGCAGAGACTCCAGGGTGTGCTGAAGCAAACAGATTCATACTATGATCTTCATCCGTATCAGGTACATGCTCAGTGTTCAGGACTAGTTACGTAGCTAAGATGGGCAATGCCCATATTGCCGTGTGGTTAGGCTGGGTTGTCAGGACTCATGCGCTCACTCGCCGCCATAGAAGACGGAATGGGTAGCAATCCCTCATGTGCGGGCCCATTGTAAGGTTGACAGACAAATCAGGTAGATATTAAAGACCGTCTGGCTTTTCGCCGGGGTATGTCCATCTTATTCGTCGCAAGTTGACAGGAAAGCTATGACTGCGCACCACTTCACGGCTGTCGCAACCAGAAAAATGAGCCTGCTCGAGGTTATAGACTATAGCGCTCTCCTAGCCAGAGAGGCGACCGAGGTACAGAAATTGGTTCGCGTCTCGTCTAATCAGGGTTTGTTCTTCCTTGACCTTGGGGAGTCGCGCAAAGAGGCAGTTGTGGCAGACCAGCAAGCCATTATTGAAGCCCAGCGCAAGTTCTTTGCACAAGAACCAGAGCAGAAGCTGCTTTTTAGCTCCGATCTTGACGAGGATGGGTAAGACAACACAAACTCTTTACACTGTACTGCGCTGCATGAGGCAAAAACATCTAGTTCTCGCGCAGAGATGGCCGGCAGACGTAAATCTGACAATTTACGTACAGTTATGATTGCCACGACGAGGTTCATGTTCAAACTCTCAAAGTTAGTTTCCCCTCCAATCGTGGGTAGAAAGCAAGCGCAACGTGTCAAATGACTGATTTCCCCATTCTTCTAGTTATCTCGCGGACAACAACTTGATGGCACTCTCAACCTGCCCGTACCTATACGTCCCGTGGAAGCCGAAATCTCCAAGCTCGCGACAATGACCGACGATATACTGAGGCAACTGTCAACACTGCTGTGCGAATCCCTCGACCCTCCCATCTCGACCGAAGTCGTCAGTGACTCCCGGAAACCCGGACGAAGCAATATGTGTCTAGGATTGGCGTCTGCCGCGGCCGGGACGTCTTTGATGGAGCACCATGTGGACTCGGATCTGCTCACCCTGACTTTCTACGACGAGCCATTCTTGGAGGTGCAGCAGCCAAAGACGGGTGAATGGAAGGTCGTGGATGTTTGTGAGAATCGGCCCATCGTCAATGTTGGGACTACTTTCCAAAGGGTGTCGGAACATCGGCTGCGCGCTCCCCTTCACGGCGTCAGGCAGTCGGAGAGGGAAATCAATCTGATCATGTACGATTTATATGCTTGTGCGTAATGGATGGCTAGCACAGAAGTAGTTACCACAACAATTCAAAGCTACTATCTTTATCGCAAACATAAGTCAATTCAATACATACACATAAAACTTACAACGCAGGCTTCAGTGCCGTGACCAAAATTGATATCAATACGATGATGTTTAATAATGACTGTGATAACTATCTATACGAGTAGGTTAGAATGATAAATGCAAGTATGTGATGTCTTTAAATGAATGATTTATAACAATGACGCAATGATCCAAGTACAATCTGAAAATCAAATTTCTTAGTACTATTCTTTACCACTCATGTCCCGCCACCACCGTGGTACAGCTTGCTGAACTGGCTCTGCTTCGCATCTACCAAGACCTTCGGATCGTCCACCTCAACCACTTGGCCCTTATCCAGAACAAACACCCGATCACATAGATTCATGACGATATCCAGGCGATGGGCGATCACGATGACTGTGTAGGTGGCAAAGTCTTTCCGTATGACGTCCTGGATCAGGCGGTCGGTGTCGGCGTCCAGCCTAGAGTTCAACTCGTCGACAAGCAAAAGCCCACCGTCCGTGGACGAAGTTCCAGACTCCTGCTGCTGCTGCTTTGTCCTCCGTCGAAGCATGGCTCGAGCTAAGCTGAAGAGTTGCTTCTGGCCGGAACTGAGCTTGTCTGCGCACATCTTGGCGTCCATGCCGCCAGACTCTTTCACAAAATCAGCCAGCTGTGCCGTCTCGATTACAGACATGCAGTCTTCATCCGTGGCACCGCCCAAGTAGTCGAGATTTTCCTTGATCGTTGCGTCGCCTGGAAGAAGAACTGGATCTTGAGGGATAGTGATGATTCTTTGTCTCAGGGCTGTACGATTTACACGACCGAGGGCGACGCTATCCACTTCTAGGGTGTGAGAGGAAGACGGTAGAGGCTCGAGAAGTCGTAAGAGTAGTAACATGAGGGAGGATTTTCCACTATTCAGTTTTAGATTTTAATCAAAGACCGTAAACGCCATGGTCATCTCTCTTGGGTTTCTTACCTTCCTGTTCTTCCACAAATAGCAATCTTTTCACCCGGCGCGATCGACAGGGAGAGGTTCGACAAGGCCAAGGTTTTCGCAGCGTCCTCAGTAGCGACACCATTCACGCTAGTTGGCAACATGTTAGATCATGTTTTCAGGGGAAACAGAGGGAAACAACTGACCTGTATGAAGCGGATACATCGGTGAGCCGTATCTCACCTCTGGAGGGCCAGTTCGGGGGAAGCTCCGCATCATCGTCGGCTTCATCTTCCGGCTTGATGTTCTGACTAAATGCCCTCAAGCGACTGACGGCTCCGATCGAGGTTTCTACCGATGTGTACCCCTGCATCAGCTCGGATATGGCGGCGGAGAGTGTCATGAGTGTCACGAAACTGGCTCCCGCAAAACCCGAGTTTGTTCTGAGCTGCGTGGCAAGGACCGTGATGACGGTGGCAATGAGACCGACCAAGGCCAGCAGAACCGTTGAGAGCCATTGTTGAATCATGGCCAGCAGGTAACCCGGTCTCTGCGAGGTATCCAAGATCTTGTTGTTCATGGTGATATTCTGCGGCGTCGTCCCGTGGGCGCGTACGGTTGCCAGGCCTCGCATGGTATCGAGAAAGTGCGAGCTATGAAATAAAGGATTAGACTCTAACCTAAGAGAAGAGAAACAGAAATCGAAAAGTATTTTATGAAGGGCCTTACTAGAGTGGGCTCTTTGCCTCGAGACTCAACAGCCGCAGTTGCCTCGAGGTGCGGAGATAAAACATCTGAATAAAGTAGAGGATAGCAACGAGAACGGGATAGCTTGCAATAATGTATGGCGACGCCACGGCGATGACGAAGCAGTTCCCCAGCAGGTCAAAGAAAACAAGACAGGCGTTGAGGAGGGCCATGGGAAGCTCTCCGTCAATGATGGTCATATCTTGGGAGAACAGATTCGTTACCGTGCCCGTATCGGTGTTGGTGAACAGAGTCAACGGCGCCCTGATGACAGTAGTAATAGCTTGCGAATGAAGGTTCAACCCGGAGGATGTGACAATGGCGATGAGCAGGAAAGCCGAAGCGCCAAATATACCAATTAGCTCCGTACCACGCAACATGCCGTAAATACCAAGGTAAAAGGCGTTTGGCCGGTGCAAAGAGTCTTCGGCCCAGTACGACATCCAGACGGTAGAGAAATTGGTGCAAAAGCCGGCGATCAAGCTGGAAAGCAGCACGAGAATGGTGGCCACCTTTGTTGTGCTGCGTAAGTAATAAAGGTAGACGGTGAAATCACCTGTCTTCCTTGCCTCGTTACCCAGGATGTCGCTTTCGTCCCCTTCGTTTTCAGACTGGGCAGGCTCTTTGACTTCACTCTTAGTGACCGGAGTATCATCGTCTTCTGCTCCCTGTGCGTCCTTGGAGGCCACCAAGTCTGCTGATGAAGCATCGACTTGGTCGATTAGCAGGAGTGTGCTGTTGTTATTGGGGTCATCGTTGAACATCTCGGCCGACCCTTGCTTGACGATCGAGCCATCTTTTCCTAGGACGATTATATGGTCTGCAAAGCCAAGATGCCGCGAAGAGTTCCCGAAACATACGGCGGTGCCACCTCTTGAACGAATAAGCCCGCTGAGGCCAAACACGCGATCAAAGACTTTTGCCTCGGTTTCGGCGTCTAGTCCACTGAGAGCATCATCAAATACTGAGATCTCTGATTCGAGATAGAGCGCCCTAGCAAGGGACAGACGTTGCCTCTGACCGCCGCTGAGTTTGATCCCGTTGCTTCCGATGTCTGTATCATGACCGGATGGCAAGCTAGCAACGTCAATGTTCAGCATGGCGGCCTCCATGACGGATTCATATTTCTTCTGAGAAAATGGGAGGAAGCCAACAACGTTCTCCTTTACGGTTCCGCTTGAAAGATAAGCCGTTTGCGCGCAGTATGCGATGATGGCAGAATCCGGAATCCCTGCTGTGAGGCTGCCGGTAGCAATGGGGATCTCGCCCAGCAAGGCATGACACAACGTCGATTTCCCTGAAGCAGTCGGTCCGACAATCATTGTGATGCTGCCCCTGGGGATGACAAAGTCAAGATCACGTAGTATCATGCTACCCTCCTCCCAGCCAAAGGAAGCATTGGTAGCCACAAACGCCGGCCGCGTTTCGATGACAGAGGATGATACGAGGCCAGATTTCCCATCTATGCGAGAGCTCGTCTCTGACGCTGCAGAATGTGACTTGTGCTCATCGGTTTCGGTGTCTGGGCGTGTATCTCTTGATGAGAATTGACGGTAATCCGATTGACGTGGCTGTGCCAAGTATTCATCGATGCGACGGAAGCTCGCAAGTCCAGCAAGAAAGACGGGCACGGCTTGAAAGAGCGTCAACAATGGACTGGACAACAACATGATGAAGGAAAGCGATACGAAGAGTCTCGAAACGTCCAGAGTCCGTGATGTCGCTGCAAAGGCGACCACGGGCGATAGAGATATCGGCATATAAGACAGGACCACAGAAACCAACATGAGGACGCGGAACTGATTCCCTGCGCTAATCTCCTCGGCTCGGTGGTTTTGCACCATGTCTGCGACCCGGCCGGCCACACCAAGGATCTTGAAGGTCTTCATGTCGGCGATGGCGCTGGCAGTGACGGCCACTCTTGTCTGAATCTTCTCCATCCACACAGTCTGGCGCTTTGGTACAAACATCATGGCGCCGTAGAGTAGGAATGTGCACAGGATAACGAGGCCGAGAGGAACGAGAAAAGCCACACCAATGTTAGTGTAGAGCAGCCAGCAGCCGATGGCTACTTCAACCAGGCCACCCCATATCTGGTGCATTTGCAGCAGGCCGGTCTCGATGTGTTCCACGTCAGTGCTCATCAACGTCAGAGACGAAGCGTCATTGGCCTTGGAAAGGTTCAACTCGGTTGTCTTTTGGTAAACGGTAGCACACAGACAAGCACGGGTGATGTATGCTGCTCTGTTGTTCAAATAACCGAAGTAGGCCGTCGATGTGACCATGCCTACGTACACGAGTACGCACGCTCCTATGAGTCCATATCCGTTGTTAGCAGCACCCTCGCGCTGCCGTTCCAAATGGTTGAGCAATGCCTGCAACACGAACGACTGCGAGTATCGGAAGCCAATTAGAGCCGCTCGGGGAATCATGGGCAGCAGAAACGCCCAAGGGAAAGCCGCAAAGAGGGATCTTAGAACGGTTTGCTGCTGGTCGCCCTTGGAATCGCGATGCAGCTTTCCCCACAGAGGAGGAGCCGTGGCACCTGCGCTCAAGGCCGCGTCCAACGAGTAGAGATCATCAGAGACAAGGACCTTGCGGTAGCCTGTCCAGAAGAGCCGCTTCAACCAAAAGTAGGTGGCCAGACTGTAGAAGCCGCTCGATTCTTCAGGGCTGTGTTCGATGCCATCGGGGGCGATCCATCGGGCTTTTTCATAGGCTTCGAGAATAAGGATCGGGATTTTGAGAGCCAAGGACGCAGTAAAGACACGCGTGAAGGTAATCTCATGTGTAGTAGTCGCAGCGAGCCATAGCGTCCTCGTCTGAACCATGTCAAAGAGCACGGTGAGGAAGAGGTAGATGTTGAGAATAAACGATGGTCGTCGGCATCGTGCATGTTCCAGGTGAGAAACAAGGAGCATAAGCAAATGTGCTACCAGAACAAGACATAAGGCCGCAATGGAAAGCTCAGATGCAGCGGCCACCGCTTTGGTAGCACACACCAGAACAAGTAGGCAAAGTTGAAGAGCAGCGAGAACGGTGAGCGATCCCTTGGCTTGGTTAGCATTTGTGCCAGTCTGCCAAGGATAGAAGGGGGTGGGAGAAGAGGAGAGGGTTCACTTACAGTCTTGATGAGCTGAAGTACCGAAGCTTCGACGAGCCGCGGCCTGGAGAGGAGCTGGATCAGCCGTAATGCTGCCGCCGGGATGAAGATGGCGGCTGGGACAAGCCAGAAAAAGATCCTCTCAAACTTCTGCGTGAAATCAAAGTCACCGCGGCATCCTTGGACAGCCGGCCCAAAGGCGTCGTCATTCAGACAGCCGGTCAGCCCCATGGCTAGAGGAACCGACTATGGCCGTCAAAACACAGATGAATGAGTTTCTCTAGGAGTATCTTTTCGGTGGGAAGGAGGAAAGTTGTTGTAGACAGAGAAAAAAAATGGATGGATTTGTGATTGATTGATTTTGACATTCACAGCGTGCCCGAAAAAGCGCTGCCAATGTATTAAGAGAGGCGAGAAACGCAGACCAGAACACCCGTTTCAAAAGTATCAAGAAATGGATACCCCTAGATGTTTGCGGTGGGTAGAGATTGAACTGGCTGAGTGTGCCAATACCTTTTTTGAAAAGGGCTCAACCCATGATCAATAGGGACCAGCGCAGCAAACGAGGACATAAGCACTCGCCCAAAGTGGACAGACGGTGAGGCGTATCAACACGGGCAAACGCACTCTCTGCTGCACCAATCGACACCCACTTTTTGCAAGGGTACCCTTGGAAGATTATTATCTGGCGGATTTGGAGGGATTAAGAAAAGGGGGGAGCGGGTAGCCGGGAGGGGGGGTGCACGGAGTGCCGAGTGCGGAGCTAGGGGCGTCTACTAATGTAGCCGATCGGGTGTACGTCTACCGGCAAGCATATACGGCATCGCCGGTCAAGCCGTTTCTCAATTTATTGATAGGAATATCCACGGAACAAGCTGTGACAAACCTCATGGAAGATAGTGCGTATGCCTCTTCATTCGACACATCTAGTAAAGCAGAGTGTCAAGCACAATATTAGAACGAAAACCTTCATCTTTTCACGCAGAGCAAAATGAACGACGAGTACGTTGTCCTGGATGCTCGAGTCCACAGCGTCTCGGTGCCAAACCATCGAATTCTCCTACGGCGCCATGGCAAGTTTATAAATGCCATACTGGAGGAAGACTCGCCTCCGGCGAATATGGTCGCTCCTCAGCTTACGAATGAGTCTCTTGTCCGTGTATCAGGTTCACTCACAACATCGACTGAGACTGCCTGCGAGGTGTCTACACTTTGCGTATCCGAGCTAACTGTCCTGTCGCAAGCGAAAGCAGGAAGCAGCATAAGCAATAGCTTCAGATCGCTTCATGGTGGTCCAAAAGGGGAAGACGACGAGCAGAAGCCAAATCAACTGGGCTGCCACCAGATCGACCAAAGACTAGATGAAAGGGTCCTGGACGTGCGTGTTGCCTCCACGGCCGCGATTTTCAAGGTTTTCTCTGGTGTTAACGAGCTTGCCGTCGAATTCCTGGCGATGCGTGACTTTTATCGCATTGCCACCCCGTCGCTGATTAGCTATGAGTATCCAGGAGAGGAGGATGACCACTTTGCCGTGCCCTACTTTGACAAGACGGCGTGGCTGGCACCAACCGGAGAAGTACACCTGGGGATGGCACTCGCTGCAGACTTGGAGCGAGTGTACGACATTCACAATGTCTTTCGCCAAGAAAGAGATGTTGACGGCAGACACCTGACTGAGGTTAGAGATTCCTTTCTTCCCGAGTGAAGCTGCAAGGTGATGCTGTTTGCGCATTGACTAACTTGATAATCTTCCTCTCAAGTTCACCATGCTCGAGCTCGTGTTTGCCCTCGACCAAGGCTGGGAAGAAATTTTGAACCTAGCGATCGATCTCTTGATATTTCTTATCCAGTCTCTTCAAGAACGCACAAAGTACGCTCAGTTAGCCCCAGCCGTCCAGCGACTGCATCCTTCTTCCGGTCCTTTCAAACTAGGACTAGTCCAAGGGAAGCTGCTACGAATTACGTTTCGTGAAGCCAAGACCATTCTGCGGACTTCTCTAGACATGCAGAGCAGTTTCGAAGATGACTTTACGTATGTTTTCTCTATATTCACTTCTTCCTCTTCTTCAATTCTCCGTCCTGTATGATCCGTTTTGCTCTTCTCTTTCATACACATTGTCAAGAACTGTACTAAAATCAAGAAACACGACTTAGACCCGAAGAAGAGGCAGCACTCGGCCGCTTCCTCTCCAGTGATGAATCACATCTCGGCCCTCCGACCGATATCTTTGCTGTCACCCATTTTCCCAAACATCTCCGCTCATGCAATGTGTATCCGTCGGAGGACGGTAGCTCGACTAATTCATTTGACATCATCATGCGCGGACAAGAGGTTTCGACTGGTTATCAACTGCTGAACTCCCACGAACAACTGCGAACTGCTTTCGCTACTCGAGCGCATCCCATCGATCCTGACTCGCCTGGGTGGCGCCCGTTTGTGGCAGCGCACGAGTTCGGCATGCCGCCATGGGGTGGCTTCGGAAGTAAGAGATCCCCTACTACATGACTAGGAGTCCCTAGGACCCTGGTTTCTCCATGCATGCACGATAGGTCCTGACGCTCTCTGTTTTTCTAGTGGGGCTCAATCGTTTTGTTCAAGTCTTTTTGGGTTTGAATGACATCCGTGAGGCGACTCTATTTCCACGCAATTCGGCACGCCTTACACCATGATGTTTGAATGAGAAGGCTCTATATCGCAAGACCCGAGACTAGGTAGTGGCAAGTGAGTGGCAAAGACGTTGCGGCATTCAGGCTGGGCAAAAAACCTTTTGTTACTTCTAAGGAGGATCTTGCGGCATTCTATCACTATTGGGCGCTTAACGTTCACCACCAGCCAACAATGATACTCGAGCAGGGAATTTACGGGAGATAGATATTATCGCGTTGAAGAACAAGGCTTATAGGTTACGTTTCTTTTACACCATAAATCCTTCATGGCGGGGAGACCAGCTAGGTGACGAATAGCCACTGCCAGTATTAATATGTTTCCGCACTTGTAATAGTTGTTTAACATGAATGTTTCCCAAAAGCAACTTTCCCCCAATTAACTAAGCCTTCAAGGGGCGTGGTTAAAAAGTCATGACATCCTTCTAGAACACCGTAATGCAAGGCCACCAGCGCTAGCCTACATGCGTAACCAGCATATCATTTTGGATGTAGGGCCTCCAACGAAGATCCCTGCAGGGTGTGCGTTTTGAAAAATGAGGTGTCCGTCAGCACAGCGATCACGTGCCAAGACATGGTGACTTATTCGCGAAAAGGCGGGAAGTATGCTCTGCGCCGTAGCCTTGCTTTCAGAGGGGCTATCTAAACTGGCATCCGCATCCTGCAGCCTGTTCTGGCGGTAATGCCTATATGTCGAGCTGCCTATTTGCTCTCCTGGGAGGTAAGTAACTAGGATCTCTTACACATTACTGGCGCTTCGTCACTAGACGCCCGTTGCTGCTTCAGCTACTATGCTCTTAGAACCGGCTTCATCGTATGTATTGGTTTTGATTGTTTTTCATAGTTCTTTTACGTAGACGTCCATTAAAGTACCCAAAAAGGACGAACCGTCATTCATGGCCTTCTTGCTTAGACATCAAGCTCCCCTCATGCAAGACGATCGACGACTTTTCATCCATTGCTCATAAATCGACCACGTCCAGAGATACCTACCGAGATGACAGTATATATGAACTGCAACGATAACGAGAGTACCAAGACACCACTACTATTGGCAAGCGCATACGGGAACCTGGCTACAATTGCTATGCTGTTGGATAATGGAGCGGATACTGAAGTCAGAGATAGGAATGGTCGGACTGCACTCTCGTGGGCTGCCGCCGAGGGACACAAGGAAGGGGTCAAACTGCTACTCAAACGTGGAGCGGACCTGGAAGCGCGAGACACGTTTGGCCAGTCCGCGCTTTCGTGGGCTGCTATGGGAGGTCATGTGGGCGTCGTCGAGTTCCTAGTTGACAGCGGTGCAGATATCGAGTCGGAAGACGAGTTCGGCCAGACTCCCCTACTATCCGCTGCGAAGAACGGCCATGACGCTGTCATCAGGTTACTGCTTCAGGGAGGTGCTGATATAGAGTCACGGGCGGCTGGCGGCTGGGCACCTCTCTCATGGGCCGCTGCCAAAGAGCATCTTCTCACCGTCAAGATGCTGTTGGATTACGGGGCTGATATCGAGGCAAAAGGCAAGTTTGGCCAGACGGCGCTGTCTATAGCCGCTTCCAAGGGATATAAGGACATTGTCAAACTACTGTTAAAAAGAGGCGCCAACGTCGAAGCCAGGGACGCGTATGGTCGGACCGCATTGTCATGGTCGGCCATAAACGGACACGCCGGCGTCACGCAGCTTCTACTCGAGATGAGAGCGGATATGGAGATGCTCTGCTGTGAATATGCTCGCAAACCGCTATCTCTCGCCTTTGACGAGGAGCGCACGGAGGTCATCAAGCTGCTTCTGAGAAACGGAGCCGACATAGACTCGACGGACAAGTACGGCCGATCGCTGCTCTCGTGGGCGGCCATAAAGGGAGATGAAGGCGTCGCCAAACTGCTACTTCAGAACGGTGCAAGCGTCGATCTGGTAGATGAGTACTATCAACGGACACCCATCTCACTGGCTGCCGAAAATGGGCACGAGGGCTTCATCCGGCTTCTCCTCGTATACGGCGCTGATGTCGACTCCAAAGACGGTATATGGGGATGGACTCCGCTCTCATGGGCCGCCACCAAAGGGCACGAAGGAGCTGTAAGGGTGTTGCTCGAGAATGGTGCTTCCGCCGGCACAAAAAGTAGATTCGGCCAGACGCCTCTCTCGCGTGCGGCAGCAAGCGGCCAAGATGCCATTTTCCAGTTGCTACGGCAGGTATCTCAGTATGAAAGAGAGCGGGAGAGCGCTATCAGCAAAGAATCACTTTTGTCTTGAAGGAATGAGGGAACTACGCTTACTTGTACTGTCCAAAGCTACAACGTCGAATAGAGATCGTCACTAACGACCAGCCACCGCTGCGCACGTCAATGTCCATTGTGAACGAAACCTTGACTTTTGCTTCAAACCCGTAGACTACTACTCGTACATAGCCTTTGAACTTAGTATTTATCTCCGTTGTCGTCCTCATCTTTCACTTCCTACCACCTACAGACATATACGTAAACCGGGTTATCAAATGTTTTATATAAAAGCGTACTGCCTATTGAATCATGATTTAAGGCGGAAAGGGACCTCATGATGCGCGCCACCATTAATATGGGAAACCTTACCGATTGTCTTTCCGGATATGAGATAACGGCCACTCTTAGCGAGTTATAAATAAAAAATCGGAATGTGTATAGTTAAACTGAGTCTCTTTAATTAAATAGACAACAAAATCTACCAAAATGTGGTCATTCTCTCTCGTTGGTAAGTAAGGTAAATGACATCAGTATGCACTGGTAAGTAGCTATACATCAGGGAGTAGGAAACATAGGAGATTTAGACTATACTGTGAGGTAATCATGGGCTCGTATTGAATTGTTGTGATAAAATCGGGCGTATAGAGGCAAATAATTACTCGTATTTTGTCAGCGAGATGGTTGGAAGAACCTTTGTTAATCGTGTTGACATGAATTATGCTTGATCCAGGCCTTCTGTGGGCTCCTCTACGGCTGAGGAATGAAATGTGTTACTATTGGACAAAAGGACTTACCAGGTGGCCAGAACAGCTGCTCATCGTATAAGAGAGCACACAGGATTGAAATATTGAATAAGTGGCTCGCGTGGTGCGCTGGTATTAAATCACTTCTTGATATATGTTAACCATTTCAGGTACTCTTTTATTGCATGCAAACTTCACAAACATAATATGGGCCATAATGGTAGATCAATTTACCAGCCCTCAAGTGCTGTACTGGTTTACTAATTCAAAATAAGGTGGTCCTTTGCACAGAGGGCTAATAAAAATATATAGCCTCTTTATCAGTGAGACACTCTTAGAACAAGGAAAATGCAAATGGCAATGCGGGCTGTAGTCAGGGACGGAAAACCCACACACGTAAGCGGATATAAGTAGATAAATCTTTGTCTCATTGCCATTGCTGGGTACCTACCTCAGGTGCTGGACAGTGTCACCGGTGAATGCTCTGACAGCTTTGGGTCATGTTTCCAGCAAGATCTCTCCCAATGGAATACTAAAAAAGGAGAGACCAAAGAGGGAGCCATGCAAATTGCCTCCGTCACGTAGGTCAACTATTGGTCAGTGCCCCTGTTTGGAATCCTGTACATTCCAGGATAACTTATTTTCCAGAAGCTAGATTTTCTCCTGCGGTAATGTGATACAACACCACTCATGGTCGATATACAATATGTCACATAGAAGAGGCACGGAATATGCTAGCCGAAGAAAGCGTAATCTTTTCTAAATCTGAGACTGCCAGTAGGTTGTTATATACTGAGTGGTAGACTCAAGAAATGCAAGTGTAAGGGTCAATCAAGCTATCATTCGAATCTAGCCTATTTGAATACCTCTCCATAATCTCCTTAAGCCCACGCCCACGTCAGACTAGAGTAGTTCCCGTCGATGTTCCAACAATACACCCCCCGCCACCGAGCCTGGGTCCTTGTCCGTGTTGAGGAGTCGTGCTACCATTCGGCATAGATGCAGAATCGCTGTGACGAGCAGAAGACTGTGCATAAGCTTTAGTTGATTAACAATTCAGGGTCCAGCTCCCTTACGGCCTTGCAGCTAAAGCTTGTTACTTACATAGCTAGACACCAAGATTCGGTTCCTTGGACTGGGTTCCCCGGATATGATCAAATACGTCGCGGGTGACATTCCACTGCGTCGCCCAAATGGAGTTATGATCTGCCCCGTTGATGACCCTGCAGGAGAACTGGATGGCATCGTCGTATTCACTGCCGTCTCGGGTCCAACAGCCTTTAAACCATTCCGGACCGACCGTGCCAGGGTTCCCAATCATGGAGTCCGTCTGGCTGAAGAAGCACTCCACAATCAAGCGTCGATTCTTCTCAGCTAGAGTGCGCCTGAGACGAGGCACTAAGGTGTCACAATCTCCCCAGTCCGCCCATCCAGATTCAGATCCACCCTGCGTCTTCTTCATGAGAAGAATCGACTCATTTGACATACCGTGAATAGGCCTAGCATAGATAAAGTCGGCCAGCTTTGGATCTAAAGCCTCTGCAAAGGCTACTGCAGGATTGGCAGGAGTAGCAGCAGCGACATCTTCAGCTGGCTGAGTCGTGAACCACCGCCCAAAGGCAGATGTGAGCCCAAAGCTGGTATCCAGTATGGGAGCGGAGACGACAGAGAACAAGGAAGCAAGCTTATCTACTTGTCCTAGCAGGGGCTTGGGGAGGGCATGCGTTATTGACATATGCCAGATCCGGGAGTGTGAAGGGTGAATCCATGGAGCACCAATAGCGAGATAGGCATTATCCGGGTACAACAATTCAGGATAATGGAATATGAAGTCCAGGGCGTAGATTGTACCAGCACTTTGCGCGCCTACATGTACGTGGCGAATTTGTAGGTGCTGTAACAAAGCGAAAATAGCATCTATTTACATACTAGTTAGTTAAATAAAAAAATCAAAAGTAGAAATGGAGAGGAAAAAAATAAAGTGAAAGGAGACAGAAAGAAAAAAAGGTTATATTTACTGCGCCAGAAAGCTAACCTCCCCTCTGCTTCTACATCAGGCGTGTCGCCAAAGCCCGGTCGATCTGCGCAAATAACGCGGACCCCATAGTCTTTGGCTAGAGCGTCTTTGGCTATAAGAAGCATTCGAGACCCAAGAAGGGGTCCAAAAAAGAGAAACACTTTTTCTTCTTTCGCCGAGGAACTCTCTACATTGTGATACCCAAAATCTGCGTAAGAAATGGGAAGAGCATTAGGGCGTCCCTCAGCTGGATCCGCAGGAAACGTGAAGACTCGGCTAAAACGTTCATCAGCTAAGAATCGTTCTACGTCCTGGTTCTGGATAGCCATATTGGGTAGAAGAAGCCGACGGCACCGGAAAAAGCTAGCTGTTGCCTTCAAAAGAAAGGCACCCAAAGGTATTGTTAATGCTGATACCTGAGTGAGGGGAAAAACGAAATTGTTTAACCTCGGTATATAAGAGAAGAAATAAGTAATTAACCAGGATTAGGCTCTCATTTACTACATCATTATGGCGGATTAATACAAATAAAGAACTTCAAAATCAAGCCCGGAGGATGCGAAAAAGGAGAAATGTTTTTACACAGAAACTGTGGTGACCAACTACAGCGCGGGCAGCATCAACTAGGAACAAACGGCTATATTTTCTGAGTGAGCGAGCGGAGCAAGGATCATTGGAGCGAAGTCATCACGTGACCTCGGAGCCGAAGCGCGAAAGGTGGGTCCGGAGGTCCGGAGGTTCGGAGCCTTCACGACAGAAACCACGTGGATACAGTTAGGGTATCGAGACAGGCTCGACATGAACACCTATGTTTCTACACATGAATGGATTATAGTGGGTCTTAGAACGCAAACTATCTCTTCTTGCAAGCGAGCAGGTTTATTAGAGGACTTCATTCTAACTGTGTTAGGTGAATAAATCTACTTCATGCATAAAGAGTGACCACTATCAATCATTGCCACAACACCCTGGTTGGATCTCTGACCCCCTGTTACTCACCCATGCACCTTGTGGCTCCATCGGACGAGGACGAGAGCTCCACTCCTGTCAGAAAGTCTGGACTCAAAGCTCAGGCACAGCAGATTCACCATATTGCATCTACGTGGTGTATTGTTATCCTGGTTTGCTCCTTAACCTACTTATTTCACCCCCGTAAGATCATGTTGTCAGTCGACCTAGGGTCTACTGATACCTTGTTATCCGACGGGAGGATTCCATACTAGACAGGTGGCCCTGCAGAAACTTACACTTAGCAGGTGGCCCTGCATGAGATTCTGCTTAGTGGGAGGCCCTGCATTAGTTCGGTCTTAGCAGGTGGCCTTGCATTAGCTCGAAAACCCTGCATGAGGGATCCCTGTCCTCTAATTAGACGCCCCTAGCTTCGTGCAGCAGCCTATTGCACACGAGCAATTGCAACTCCTTCATGGTCAGACAGGCTCCATTATTCGCCTAAGGATTCGCAAGCTGATTCCCGTTATCGATCTTTTGATACGGATTAGAGTAGTGATTAGCAGTCGTGATGAAGCTGGTGGGATCTGTGGGTCGTTTTTCTGTTGACGATTCTAGATGTCTGCGCCCTGCTAGTAGCGATTACAAGGGGCCAGGACGATCGATAACACTGCATCCTGTGATATGGGTATCTAATAAATGTAATCCTGTCTGGAGTGTATACGCGATTGGAGTTACCTCGACGCTCTTGCGATTTTTGTGTGAGCATACCCGCGTCGTATGTATTGAAAGACACATCAAGTAAATACGTGTTCGCGACAACTGTAACGACTTCAACACCAAAACATCGATCACTTTACATCACTTGTATACGTATGTACAAAACGAAAATGAACTCAGAGAATCCGAAAATGGGGCCAACAAGCAATGGGTCACCAGAAAACACTGAGCTTGGGTTCAAAGGAGACGTCATGGCAAAATTGCCAGCGTTTATGCTACTGCCCCAACCGGAGCAGGCAAATCTGCACGCGATTGTCGATTATGTCGCTGCTGCTTGCAGCCTCGATACCGACCGAGTCGGTGATATCTACCCGTGTACGCCGATGCAGGAAGGCTTGATGTCTTCTGCTGCAAAGCTTCCTGGGGACTATGTCCTGCAGGGAGTCATGGAATTGTCACCCAACATCTGCCTCGATACGTTCTGCGCCGCCTGGAACCAAGTGGTGGAACAACTCGATATCCTCCGCACCCGAATTGTGCATCATGGCACTTTGGGATTCCTACAAGTGGTTACCGTCGAGCCGATTCAGTGGATCAAGCAGGCGGATCTGCGAGAATACCAAACACAACAAGGAAACGACTTCAATATGGGCCTGGGACAGCCTTTGACTCGCTACGCCATCATTGGAGGTGGCGAGGAAGATAAGCCGCGCCAGTTTGTCTGGACAATCCATCACGCCATTTACGATGGATGGCTCTTGAAGGCAGTGACGGAAATGGTGTGGTCGACATACCATGGACGTCCGACGACGAAGCTCTCGCAATTCCACCATTTTGTACAAGACACATTGCTTCAGAATCACCAGCTGGCGAGGAACTACTGGGCGTCGTACCTAGAGGGGTGCAACCCGTCCGAATTCCCTTCAGCTCCCTCAGGCACCAGTGTACGACCAGGCGAGCGTTTCCGCGTCGAGCAGAGCTGTCGTTTTGGCGGAAGCATGAAGGCTTTCAAACCTTCGACGCCCATTTTCGCTGCTTTCTCCCTTGTCGCAGGCTGCTGGACAAGTTCCGACGATATTGTGTTCGGGACAATCAGAGCAGGCCGGAAGGCAAGGGAACATTCGGAATCGAGTCAAGTTGCGGGGCCTACCATGGCGGCGGTACCGGTTCGCGTCAGACTTCCGAACGACCAACAGCTTTTGCTCACCTGGTTGGCATCGATTCAAACGCAACTCGAGCAGATGACCGATTTTGAACAGCTCGGATTGCCAGAGATCCGCAAAATGAGCATCGAGAATGAGGCGGCCTGCAACTTCAACACGATGGTTGTGGTTCAGCCAAGAGATAACGACTTGGTGGATGAAGCTCCCCTGGGCCAGTGGCGCAACGGGTCCAAGGATGTTGCACCACGTACATATCCACTGAACATCCAGGCTTTCCTCAATGGGGACGAAATTCGATTCGTAGCCGACACGGATTCCAACACGATGACGAGACCACAAGCAGTCAAGATGCTGGAGCGGCTATGCCACGTGATGGAGCAGCTGGTGCTGGCCACCGAGACGCAGACGTGGGACGAAGTTGATATCTTGTTGCCGTCAGACCACCAGAGCCTGTGGTCGGCGAACGCACTAGTCCCGCCGGCCGTGGAGCGATGTGTTCACGATATGGTGGAGGAGCAGGCACAGAGGCAGTCAAACGCCACGGCCATCTGCTCCTGGGACGGCAACTTGACCTACGGTGAGCTTGATACGTTGGCGGCCCAACTGGCCAAAGACCTCATAGATGCCGGTGTTACGCAAGAAACAATAGTCCCGCTGTGTTTCGAAAAGTCGAAGTGGGCGGTGGTGGCGATGCTCGCGGTGCTCAAGGCCGGTGGCGCATTTGTCCCTCTGGATGTGTCTCATGCAGCAGACCGACGCGAACAAATCATCGAGCTGACAAAGGCAACTGTCCTTGTCTCCTCTGAGACTCAGAAGTCGAGCCTCCTCGGACGAGCAGACCGAACCGTTATCTCCGTGGGCCCCAATTTTACGAAGAACCGTTCTGTGGAAAACGGCTCAAACGGAATTCAAAACGGCAACCACATCGACTCCAACGCCACCCAAAGAAGTCACCCGAAAAATTCTGCCTATGTCTTGTTTACATCTGGAAGTACAGGCCTGCCGAAGGGTGTTGTCGTAGAGCATCAAGCACTGGCATCTAGCTGTACGAATCATGGACAGACCATTGGCTTCAGTGAAAAGGCAAGGGTCTATCAGTTCGCTGCATACATATTCGATGCCTGTATGATGGAGATTTTCAGCACATTGATTTACGGCGGCTGCATATGTATTCCATCTGACTGGGACCGTCTGAACAACCTTGAATCGAGTATCGTCAGCGTGAACGCAAACACTGCCTTCTTTACGCCAACAATGGCTCGTCTGTTGGACCCGAGCCGACTCCCCTTACACACTGTCATCCTTGGTGGTGAGGGACCTACCGATGATGACCTACTGCGGTGGGGCCAGCACCGAAGAATCTTGAATGGATACGGTCCTACAGAGTGTACGGTGTTCTGTGTGATGAATACTGTCAAAGACCACAGCCAAACAGGTGTTGGCTCCATCATTGGCAGACCTGTGGGGTCGGTCTCATGGGTCTGTCTAGCAGATGGTACCGACAGGCTTGCGCCTGTCGGTGCTGTTGGCGAGTTATTGGTTGAAGGTCCGATATTGGCTCGCGGATATGCCAATGATGACCGCCAGACTTCAGAAGTGTTTATCCAGGACCCCTCATGGCTTTTACAGGGAGGGGCTGGATATCCAGGACGCCAAGGCCGTTTATACAAGACGGGCGACCTAGTGCGATACGATGAGGCCGGCAATCTTATCTATGTCGGCCGTAAGGATACCCAAGTCAAAGTTCGAGGCCAACGGCTTGAGCTTGGCGAGGTTCAACACCAGCTTAGAGAATGCCTCCCAGAGGTATCCTCTATAGCTGTAGAGCTGGTTTTTCCCGAGGGCAAAACCGCCAGCCCCAGGGTAGCAGCTTTTATAGCAACAACCGACACTACTAACAACCCCAACCATCCTATTACAGCAAATGTTATGACTATATCTTCAGAGGTACAGGATGCTCTTGTGGAAAGATTACCTAACTATATGATACCAGCTATTTACATTGAGGTTTCGCGCATACCGCTTAACCTCTCAGGTAAGACTGACCGACGACAATTGCGTGACATTGGTTCTAGGATTTTCAGCCAGCAGCTGGCAGAGACCTCCGGCGGAGACATCGACAACGCACCTACGACGGATCTAGAGCGGGCGTTGCAACATATTTGGGGCCATGTCCTTCACATTGATCCCGCTGCTATTGGCATCAACGACAATTTCTTTGCTCTTGGCGGTGACTCGATTGCTGCCATGAAGGTGGTCAGCCAGTCACGGTTGGGAAAGCAACCCCTTATCACTGTCGCTGACATCTTTCGTTACAAAACAATCGCGGCCTTGACAAAGCACATGTCGACGATGGATGACGAAGACGTCTTACATGATGACATTGCACCATTTTCCCTTCTCGACATGGATGAGACAGAATGCCGCAACTCCATTGCCGCCGACTACGGTATTGACTCCGACCGGATCCAGGATGCCTACCCGTGTACGCCGCTCCA